CATCAAATATGAATGAGCTCATGGATGGACTGAACCGTTATTCTGCGATGCACCGGCTCTCTAAGGGTCGTGCTAGTTAGAGCATTGAGAGGCTTGTCAAGCTACGGTTAGATAATCTACGAATCGATTTCAAGGAGCAGAATGTAGATAGCTTAGTCTGTTGAGTAATATCATGGAGCTTACATAGTGATGTGAATCACAGCAGAATGATAATACGAAGAGGAAGATGCCGTAGTTCACTGTCTCAGTATGTCACCGAACTAGACTCCAATTGAGAAGATAGTAAGAATATCATGGGTCATGATGAGTACAACATTGTAATGGGCAAAATATGAAGTCCTCACGAAATGCAACCGAGTTAAGTAATATATATATATATATATATATATATATATGGTTCGTAATTTAGTCAGGCGCCATCGATACTGTCCGCGAAAATGTTACGGAAGGTTTGTGATGTCCAGAACATATTAATCGCGTTTTTTACGATTAACTGCCTACTAATCCTTCGCTTCAAAGTACACATATTATTGCAGGTTCTGATATATCTTGGAAGTTATTGTGGCCGTTTCATCACCATGTCACTATCCATGTTTCCTTGGCTGACTGAAGCACAGCGACTCCCTTCTCATGGGTTGTGTGAAATGCGGACGGTTAAGATTATTTATTCTGTGTTCTGTTACCCCTTGACTGAGTACGGATACATATCCTGCGTTTTTCTATTCCCTTCTTGATACAACAGTAGTTTGTTCCAAATCTTTAAGTGGTGAACCCGAAAAATACGGTCTTCTGATTCTCATAGTAACTTTTGGAATCGTGGCGTTTATGTTTTTGTTGCCGATCAGGTAACTGCTGTGAACGCCGTCATGAGAAGTGTGAATCTGATGATTTATGATTCTGTAAAGAAAACATTGGTTCATCTTTTCATACTCCTTCCTCCCATCAAACCGTCGCCATCATGGCACTACCAAACGGTACCGAAAACAACCAAATGAGAATGCCCGCGAACTAATAGCATACGGCGTCAAAACTCTCAAATGAAAATATTTGCAAAAGCATCTCTCTGTAAAAACCCAAACAACTGACAGCCTCGTCTGCCTGAGCAGGTTGCAATATAAATATGATCCGTCCCTTTGTGTGCTCATTCTCTCGTTACCACGATGAATATACCTTATTATTATTGTTATCGTTTTAATTCTTCGAAGCCAGACTGGGTCAAATCCAAGCTTATCACAACATTCTCAGAATGTCTTTGGGAAATAGCCTCATAGCTTTTTCTTGAAGCGTTGCTGCATCATCTCAAGAGCATATTGGTCAGATTTTCAGAGATTTCATTGAATCAACGAGCAGTATTCCATACAAGGCAGTACAAATGTTTTGTAAAGCTAGATGCGAGATTACGTGAGAAAAATGATGACATAGGTAACCGATGGTCTTCATGGCCATCAAAGCTTGTAAGTCCCAATGTACATAACAATTAAGGGTTACTGAATATATCACGCTTAAGTTCACGAAATGCCCTACGTTGCGAGATGTATGTGCCTTACAGTAAGTGACTAGCTGGCGGTACTTGGCATTTGTAAGACAAAATATTACACTTGTCCACGTTTAGACATCTGCCACTGTTGGCACCAGGACACAAGTGCAGATAGGTCATCCTGAATGAGACGTACGGCTACCTGGGTATTTTCACGTTTTTATGAGTAGATAAGTTTAATGTTATCCGCAAACAGAAACATAGCGCCGTCATATTCTCTAGAATGCATCGTTAACATACATGGGAAGAAGAAGTGGACCAAGAACACTTCCTTGAATTACTCCACCGGTGATTGCTTCTGGTTTAGAGCAGTGGTCGTCGATGCGCATCATCTGCTGCCTACCAATTAGATATGAAGACCGCCATGAAAACATCGGCTCTCCAATGCCTATGGACTTCAATTTGTCGAGTAAACTTCGATGAGACAATCTATCAAAAACTTTTGCATATCTAGGATTACAACACTGTTTCCGTTGTCTCTGGCAGCCGTTGTGTGGTTGACTAAGCTCGTTTAGCATGTTGCGCAGGTTCGACCTTGTACACAGCCGCGCTGCGAATAGCTGATGATGTTAGCCTTGTTCAAGAATACAAATAGTCTATCTTTTACTATTCTTTCTATGATTCCAAATACGACGGATGTGTAATTGATGGGAAGAAGTTTTTTAACATCCTGGGCGGCTCCATATTTTGTGTCGAGAGGTAACAGTCTTGCAGTTCTCATTAATCCTTGCCTTACAGGATAGTGCAAAACAGTATAGTGGCTTGCAGGAAGTCACATATGTGACTGGCCGAACAACTTTCTCGTTGTGGCAGCTGGGTGGTTCAGGTCAATCTCGTTTCAGCGATTGGTTCGGTGGTAGTATTTCAGAACGTGGTGAGCTTAGGGCTAGCAGGACTTATCCATAGTAAAGCCACAAATGTCCGTTTAACAACACTGACGTGGTGGATGTTGACTGGCCACTAAGTGAAGTCGTCGATTCTTGCCCATCTAGGTTATCCTACCCTCTCCAAAGACGTCGATTATCCACCTTGAAGAGTTTCTATGATCACTACTTGCACTGACGGTACGATCAAACACAATCATAGGTGCAGCGTTCCTTTAAAAAGTTCATTCAACTGCAATGTACATATGGTTGGTGGCATCCGGTTTCGGATTTGCCTGTCAGTGTGGCTTTCATGGAGACAGCCACAAGGCGGCTGCGCCTACAGTGGGACATGGGTGACTTGCATTGCACTGCCCACAGTTCAATCCACACACCCCATATTCAGTGTAAACCCGAAGAAATAAGACCGGGAGGCATGTGGATGGGAGCCACGTTTCATTAACGGAGCCGGTCCACACTCCTTCAACATGCACAGCAGTAGCATTCCTGTCTATCTATGTTGGGAATCATAGATATCAGATGTGCACAAGACAATAGAGGGGGTCGTAGTCCGCTCCACACTGGATGGATTAACTGTTTGAGTGTACGACTTCAATGAAGACTGTGCACTACTTCCCCCCTCAGCAACGATTCACAGTCTCCTGGAACCAGTAATCGAGGTGGCAGTGTTAGACAAGTAGGCACTTTGTCAACACTTACTTCAAGCACAGCCACACCGGGGATATCAAACAACTAACCAAGAATTTAAGGGAATACAGATACCTGAAATTGATATCGAATATGCAGCAGAAAAACAACATTTATCAAGCCAAATAAAACGTAATGAGTTCTATTCAAATTAAACGGATGTAGTGTAAGTTAAAGATGCATCATAAACGCAAGCATCAAGAATCATGGAAATCAAAGTAAGGTACAGTTATGTGAAAAGGAAACGGAACAACACAGAGAAATCCATGGTTTCTTGAAGGAGCACGATGCTACCAGGTTACCCAGACAGAAGCAGGAAGTTGGCTTTGGAGACATCATGTTGAACCTGTGGCCGAATAACCTACCCTCAAGGCAGCGGAGTGAAGTAGAGGAATCGCGCCCATTGGGAGGCGGTGACCCAATAATCAATACATGCATCTTTTGTTTTGTCGAATACCAAACAGGGGCCTTATCCTCTCCACTATTATAGCAGCACATTGCTGGAATACAAGGCTTTACCAGAGCCAAGCAAGTGGTAAGGCATCTATTTAGTGACGTGTCACATCAGCTAAGTCGCGGCATTGTTAAAAAGATATATGTTTCATTTTATGGTGAGAACTCTTGCCAATCGAAAACCCACCACGTGCTAGAACATTGCTGCCGAGCCATTGGCTGGGACGGGATGTGCCCGAACCACGCAGCGGGCACCACGTGGATGTTGTTTGACATGCCAGCACTGCGTAGTAATGCTGATCGGTGACATTCTTCTAAAACCAAGACAAGATCCTAGCAAAAGGGTCATCGTAATACAATGACATAACCTGAGTATGTAAGCAATCTGTAATCACTTTTGATTCAGTTGAGTTTTTACATTTTCTGTACGGTAGCATTTATTGATTAGGAGAAGGCGACTACGTCAAGAATCGGAGTAATATTGACAATGCACTGCTTGGAATATTACAAACCGACGAGTTCCGTTGCCAAAGAAACTAAACAACGATTTAGTACCTGATACTGCTTCAGGGTTCTCGACGGGATGTCTGAGTTAAGTTCTTATGATAAAAAGCCACCTGCTAGACTTAGACATCATATCACAAACTAGTAGTTGTGCATCTTTAGGATTTTTGACATCTTTTAGCTGTTTAACTAGTTCAGTCAAGAGCAAGCTGGATTAATTCGACGACAGCAGTGCTGGAGTACATTACTAAATGGCTATGCATTGTGTCCCATTTGGTGAGGCTTGTTACGAAGTACACTGTAGGGAACTGCTAAATGTGGATTCCGGAACAACACTGCGGACAATAAGGAGTTATCTGTTTTGAATGTTGTTTTACATACCAACCGGAGCAATACTATTGCGCATCATTTACCGCTAGCCGTCTCAAAATCATCAATGCATGGTGGTGAGTGGCTTTACTGGTAGGTGCTAGGCTTAGAACGAATCCGGAGATGGATTGCTTGACTCGGTATGCATATAGAAGTAGCAACAGCCGAGCCGGGCATACAATCGCTTAAATTGTTACAGTTAGCTGAATTTAAGTACCCGAGTGTGTGAGCGGAAAACTCAGTGTCACTGTTAAGACCACGTTGCTCTACCAGTTTAAGGCCATTTACGCCACATGTCTTCTGTAGACGGTAGTATGTATCTTTGTCGTTACGCAAGATCCGAAACGCTAGAGTCACGCGGCCGCATGCATTTGCAAATTTCTGTCGCTTCATGAGAATCCCACAGATGTAATTAGTGATTGCGATTAAACGCACAGGAATACTCCCGGTCATGAGACTGAATCTTCCACGCTGTTACATCTGCAATTGACACTAATATCCGAAATGCATTATCCATAGTGTACGCTGAGTTTGTTTTGGTGTCTCCTTCTATTACCTCCCCATAGATCGGTGTTTACTGTGCACCAGGGTATCAACGCATTCGACTACCATGAGGGTCAAAATCAGATCGCCACGGCTGGGGTGAACTACCACGTCTGTTTGTGGAATCCGTACGTGGTTTCGAAGCCAAATGGAGTAAGTGCCATTGGAATAGGCTATACAGTAACTTAGTCTGCCGATCAGAGCTATGTGCACTGAACAAATGTCCACATATTTTGTTGACCAGACAGCGCTTCTTCCAATATGCACATACGTGGATCGCTATCACATAAATAAATAAATCGCTAGCTGTACGCCGTAACGGCGCTTCGCTGCCACGCGACAACCAACAGTCGTGCGTGGGCTGTGTATACCGCGATGACGCCCGCCCCTACGCGGATTCGAATCAGTGACCTTATGGTTGCAAACCAGACGCGCATACCACTTGGCTACCGGCCGACTTTCTTCATTACAGCAACTTTCTGACAATGTTTACCGCTCGCGATAGTCAAATTCCCTTGCCCAGTTAGATCGTTGATTTTCCTTCTGCTTAGCACATACGTACGGTTTTTTATTTTGTCAAGTAGCCTCCCCTTCAATCTCCGCGGGTTTGCGATTGAAGCCGTTGGAATGCAATCTCCTAAAGGGCGCACAAATTTGTAACACTTTGCACACTTCATACATGGTGGCTTTGTATTGGTAAGATACCAGGCTGAGCATGCTGGCTATCTATCCAACAGTAAAGCTTAACGAGTTTAGGCCAACAGTCTGAAACCTGGTCAATGGCTGCAGTCGCAAACTAAAGGATAGTACGCGATCGAGTTAAACCGATAGGAACGGAGCTCGAAAGCTGGCCGAGAAAGCAGTAGCAAGGAGATATACTCTACAATTTTGGGTCGTTCTACTTGATGTTATATGTAAAATGAGCTTGTGTTCTATGGACAGATTTCAGATCGATGTTGAGATTGCGCTTTTGATCCTCCGAAGTCTATTACGACAGTCTTCCCTCTGTAATCCGTTATACTAGTCACACCATGAATTTAAGCGTCATACTACTGTCAGCTTCAAGTATGATTCTTTTCAACGTTTATCAATGCTCCTAGCATGAAGTGTTTCATTGAGCACTGCAACTGGATCTACTGGTCCCGATTTAGGGAGATAATAAAATTCAAGCGTATGTCAGCATTCGACTTCCACAGACTATTCCCAACATTCTATCTTGTGACAAAACACGGTAAAGCAGAAACACCATGGTTACCCATTATATCCCACGATAAACACGACAAGTTTTCAGCTTGAAGCCGTAGACGATACTAATCAAGCCACGTATACGTTTTCTTGGTGGATGTAGGTATTTCGTGACCATCTACAGGCAGGGTGATGACCGTTTCCAAAAACGCGTGCCATAACTTGTAAACTTTGGAAACGGAATGTTGCAGTAATCTGTACTTATCTGAGCTTCATTGGGCCATGAAGACAGTGACAAAGCGACTGTTTTTGCCGCGCGGGGCGGTGGTAAAATGTTCGCGTTGTCTGAGGGCAGATTAGGGACGTAAAGGCCACACAATCGCGTCAGGATAAAGGGTACCTTAGTTTTCGGTGAAGTGGATGATCGTTTGAGACACTGATGCAACTGTAGTGATAATGACCACAATGAGACAAGTAAGAGGATCTGTGGGAAGAAGGTTTGGACAGGTGCGACACATGGTGCAAAGTTGTCGTTGGCCATAGAGAGTGACATTAAAATCATCACCCCTCAGCGTAAACAGATATTTTGCCCTTCATATTTGGTATCGGACAATCGACATTAGTAAAAATACCGATATCTGTCACATGCTGCCCTCCTATGCTACCCCTCTGTATGGGGAATGCCCCTTGGCAAAATGTTAACTACGCTTAACCACAGGGTTGTTTGGTTGCGCTCAAAACTATGCCAGAAGCAAGATATGTTGGGATCTTAACATCCCACTTCTTCACACTCCATCTGTGGCAACCAAATTCCTTCATTGTTGAGACTCATCTCAGGTAGTCTGACTATCGGATAGGGTGTAGATCGCAATTTAGTTGCTACCGTCATTCTCAGACCGGACAGTACGGAACAATGAAGCTTGGTTCACAAGTGACGACGATGACAAGTGAATCAGTTGGATCGATGAAAATGGGAGGCTGCTTACACTAAAGCTGGAACGGCTACAAGCGATATGCACCAAAGGATCCAAAAGTGACGCTGATGCCTAGCGTAAGTCATCTCCCTCAGTTTTGTTAATTCGAACTGAATTAAAGATTACAGGTTAGTAACACCGGACATAAACTCTCTCACAATAGTATGAAACCAGTAAACTTGGGTTGACCCTTTCGCTGTGTCGCGGGAAAGTCAAGTGATTCCATAATGATGCGCACCAGCGCACGTGCGCATCCGCATGGACAATTTAAATAGTACATCGCATGACACTCGCGGTGTGACCACGCGACTTTCAGTTCACAACGCAGCAGGGTTTCGCGAACAAATTCGTTCAGCAGAAACTCACGCCCGGTATAGTGAGTACTTTTTATGACTAAAAGTGTCTACATCTGTATTGCCTTCTGTTGAGTTTATAAACTGCTCAGTGACCTCCTGTCTCCCTTCTATTCCTCTCTGATCGGAGTGCAGTCGTGGGAGTCACGTTTGTCTCGTATTGTGCGCGTCACTCCATTGGTAGAGTTCCGACATCATAGACTGCGGCTAGACTTCTCACGGGCATTATCATGTGAATGGTCCGAAGTGCGTACTCGTCTACACAACACGTAGAAACGACTATAGGAAATTTCACCAGATCGTGTTCAGCGAAACGGGGTCCATGAAACGCCGTAAAATCTCTCCCCTATGTCGACTGCTCGCATCTTTCCATGAACTTCAAATGACGATTATACCTCGCATAGCGTCTTACACTATATGTGATCCCTGTTTGATTGTTCAGCATGGGATCCTGGTCTTGAAATCTTCTCTAATGTAATAGGTACATGCGGTCCCCGAAACCGCCACACGACCGCAGTATCTTAACGGACCTTCGAATGCGTGGCTTGTATACCGGTGCGGACGGCTGCAGCGGTGAAACCGCTACTAGCAGGTGTGGATGTGGAGTTAATTCAGTATGTGCAGTAATTTATAATTGCATAAATGATTAGCATCCTAGTCTGTGATTCAGTCAACCAGACACGTGCGCCACCATTTGGGCACTTTCAGACTGGAGACATCTGCTAACAGTTTTGCACGTCACCGACTGCGAGCAAGTATAGGTCCACCCAGCTGGGCAATTGTCCTTGGTGGCTTGTGCTTCTTCACCCACACCATTCAATTACCCCATGCCCGATGCAACCCAAAAGGAAGACGATATGGAAGCATGCGAACACGGATCGCCGTGGCTTCCAGTCCACACACACACACACACACACACACACACACACACACACACACACACACACACACACACACACACACACAATCTATGATACATGGCTTCTGACATTTGCCTTACAATCATAAGCCCAAATCTGGAGTACTTGTTGCTGTGTATGTTTGGAACCACGGCAGAAACCAATCTGACCTACAAGTGCATGCGTTCTTATTACTGTGAAAGGTCACTGTGGAGAGTTGTTATCATACTTTACCCCACTCCTTCAACATTTATAGCTGTGAAGTGATCAGGGAACCATTATTTCCAAACGTTATTAAGCACCAGCGGATAAGTCGTTTTCTTGTTGGAACCAATTTTGGGCCTCACACTATCCCCAGGAACTATTGACAATCTCCTGGGTCCTGTAACCCGAGGGTGTCAGAACTGGAAGTGCATATAGAGTATAAAACTTCGCAGACGCAACTTACGAAATGGGATTGAACGTTTATCAATCGCAATAGCACAAGAATAGCCGAATAGTAGCGACGGTGCACCACTTGTCCCCCGAGACAGCAGTAGTGGTACGTTTGGTCTTCTTCCATGTACGAAATAGACTCCCGTCTAACCTGGATCCTATTTCCTGTACCAGCAAGCATACCAGGACTCCCGGTACTTCGGTCTTAGAGTTGCTCTTCTTGCCTCTGTAAAGGAAGTGAAGCATGAACAAGAGAAATATCTGTACTTCATTGCATCACAGACCATGAGGTCTGTGGCCATCTCCTATAATTTTCAACAGTTCTAGAACAAGAAAATGTCAACACTTATCCTAGTCTTTTTGTAGCTTCTACGATAGTGTTTTCCACTAAAGTAGAAGGAACGTTGCTCCAACTAAGAACTACACGATTCGCAACGAATTTCGCCCAAATTACCAGCCTAGACGACATTTACTTTCTTGTTGCTGGCAGCGCTGACACAGCGTAACAAAGCAACTTACGTACACACAACATAGTTCCACTTAACCTTGTCAGTGATTATGCATCACATTTCCTGCCATGCATTACTTTCTTTCCTTCGGCACTTTTCTTTTCACTCACCTCACTATTTTTTCTCGTTTCAGCTGCTTCGTGGCCACATGGCCTCCGTGGTGGCAGTGCAATTCCATCGGTGCAAGGGCCATCTGTTGAGTCTTTCACGTGACCGCGTTCTAAGAATCTGGGACGTCCAACTGCAAGTGTGTCTTCAACGTATAGCAGGAGTGTTTCCCAAAGGATTGGAAGGTATATGCCTTTAAAAACACTGATCACAGAGACAGCCACATGTTTCAACAACTGTCTCTACTTACTAATGCCCAAGGCAGCAAGTGAACAATCCGGCCATAATTAAGAGCTGCGCCTTCGTTCACCCGATCTGTTCTCCTCTCAATGCCGACGCCCTCGGATACTGATAGAGAGGGATAATCCATGTAAATCAATGATGGTCTTACCTCTTTACTAGCGATGCTGAGGGCACAATCTGAAACTAGCAACCTAACACTGTAGTTTGGGCGGTAAAATTTTTTATCCACCTCTTATCTGTTCACAAAGGAATGCATTACCAGCACAGGTGATAAATGCACCAAACATCACAGTCTTTGTAAGGCTGCAGTATAGTCTGACAAACTGCTAAATCTTGGTTGCATACGTTTCAGCTGTACATTGAGGGTTAAGTAAACCCGACTCAACACTCACAAGTTGGAGGACCCAACGGTGAAAACGCAGAATCAACAAAGGCTTGGCGAAAATCTCACTCTACCCCAGGCTCTGGATGTTGATCAACACTGGTTGAATTTACAAAAAGCAACCCTGTCCGCCGGCTTTTCCAGCTGCGGACTCACTCGCTGAACAACCAGAAGCTGGATTTCGGCAAAATCCTCGGAGCTGCTGGATCGTCGACGGACTGTGCCCACCGGTGCGGAGCACAGTGAACTTCGTCGGTCTATCTCTCATCAGCTAAAGTCAAGTCTCCGCTCTGACCGCGAATCCTGGCGGTCAAAACGATATGCTAAGGTGGAAGCCGCTGCATCGCCTGAAAACTGCCACATTATCTTTTACCTCCTCAAGACCACCGGGTTGTCGTTCACACGCTGTCAGTCAGACGATTTGTGAATCATACGGAACGAAAATCACCAACCTGCAGAGGCACGTGGGTCGCTGGGCAGAGCGCTTTGCTTTCCAATTTAACTACTCAGCACAGCCCACTGTGATATATCCGTTTCCTTCGGATAGTGCTTGGCCTATCGCCACAGATGCTCCTACCTAAACAGAGATCTGAAGCGTAATACAATCTTTGAAACGTCATAAAGTTCACAGTACTGACAGCCTACCCCCGGCTCTATTTAAAGATGGCGGGAATGCACTTGTCAACGAAATGCTATCACTGCTCACGAGAATTCGGACTGACGAGAAAGTCCCAATTGCATGGGGAGAGTCGGTCATTGTTCCGAATCACAAGAAAGGCTCCCGCGAGGATTGGGCCAATTACCGCGGAATTTCGTTAGTCTCTGTTCCGTACAAGATTTCCGTGTCTGTTCTACCCCTCAAGCTCTTAGCGACTAGAGAATGCGTTTCCCGAGAGGAACAAGTGGGTTTCCATCCATGTCGAGGTCGCATTGACCACATCTTCACACTCCTCCAACATCTTGTACTCCTTCACCTCCACCGATGGCCAACGATCGTTGTGTTCTCGGACATCCGAGCGGCTTTTGATTCAGTAGATAGATCTGCCTTGTGGAAATGTCTACTAAGGTAAGGTGTGCCCGACAACTTTGTAACCATCTTGAAGGATCTATACAGGCACACCTCGGGTAAAGTCAGGGCTTGCGGCACGCTTACCACTTCGTCTGCTATCACTAGCAGCGTGCACCAAGGTTGCCACATCTCACTTATGCTCTTCAACTCTGTCACTAAAGAGGTCATCCAACGAGCATTGGAAGGACCTCAAAATTTCTGTATTGAACTGCTTTCAGGTGACAGAGTCTCGGATTTGGACAACGCTGGTGATATCGCTTTGCTTGGGACGATCCACAAGCCGTCCAGAGCGCTTTGGACCGCTCAGCGATAGAGGCACCTAACTTTGGACTGTGTTTCACGCTAGTAAAGTGTAAAATACTGCTCCAGGGTTGGCAGATGCATGTGCCGGCCTCCAGCTCCATCTGCTACCTCTGGCGCTCGCACTGGTGCCGAGTGGTCTACCCCCACAGATCCACCCTATTACCAGGAAATCGAGCAGGAGTTCCGCCACATAAAGCGTTATAAAGCCCTCGGCTCTGATGGTCTTCCTCCAGCTCTATTTAATGATAATGGCGCTTCACTGGTCCGAGAACTCACTGCTTTGTTCTCTAAAGTTTGGTCGAAGGAGGAAGTTCCATCATCTTGGGGTGAATCGATAGTTGTCACCATCTTCAAACAGGCCTGCGCGCCATCTGCCCCAACTACAGAGGCAAAAGTTTGGTTCACGTCGTTTGCAAGCTTCTGGTGTCCGTCATACTTCGCAGGTTATCCCCAACGCGCAAATCGTTGCAGCGAGAAAAACAAGCTGGATTTCGCCTTGGTCGCGGCTACATCGATCAATTCTTCACACTCCGACAGATCCTCGAGCTCCGCCATGAGTATCAGAGACCCACGATTGCTGTGTGCTTAGGAATCCGTGCAGCCTTTGATTCTGTCGATCGGACGGTGCTGTGGCACCTCCTGCTAAGGAATGGCGTCCCCGAGAAGTTCGTCTCCATACTGCGCGCTCTCTATGGTCTGACCTCGGGCAGAGTTAGGGCTTATGGCAATCTTTCGCCTCCCTTTGTGGTCTCCAGCGGAGTTCGACAAGCATACCCTACTTCACCGTTCCTATTCAACTTCGCCGTTGAAAATGTCCTGAAGAACGCTCTGGGCGATTCGTTGAACGCTGGCGTTGGGCTCCTCCCAGCTAGTCGAGTTGTTGATTTGGATTATTCCGATGATATTGTCTTGCTGGGTGACAATCCGCACGTCGTCCAACTTACACTAAACCGCTTGGCGATTGAAGTATCAAAGTATGGTATCTACTTTTCTCCATCCAAATGCAAGGCTCTCTTTCAGGACTGTCAGGTGCCCGTGCCTGCACTCACTCTTGGTAGTGAGACATTGGCGGTTGTGGAGAGCTTTGTCTACTTGGGAAGTTGCATCACTGCTAGCGGGGCTGTTGGAGACGAGATTTCGATGCGTATCTCAAGAGCACGCCGCGCTTTTTCTAAGCTGATGCACTTGTGGCGTCACCACGACATTCGTCTCTCTATCAAAGGGCGGTTCTATTGTGCAACTGTTCGTGCTATACTGTTGTAAGAATACGAGACCTGGCCCATTCGTAAAGGCGGGGTCCGCGGACTATCCGTCTTCGAGTACAACTGTCTGATGTCTATTGCCCTTGTGTGGTGGCGGAACCACCTAAACAGCGTGTCTTGGGACGAGGAAGCCACTCGCTCGAGGAGCTCGTCTCACTGCATCAACTGAGGTGGTTGGGGCACGTATTGCGCATGCCTGTCCAGCGTTATTCTCGTCTTGCGTTGTTTGCGGTTGCTGAACAGGGCTGGAAGAGACGGATTGGTGGACAGCCTACAACTTGGAGTAGCCGCATGAAAAAGCTGAGGAAACAGTTGGCCTCGGTCGGTTGTTTTCGACTACCTGGTTGGGGTCCGAGAGATGCAGATACTTGCTGGTTGCAGACGTTAGAAGTCATGGCTCAAGATCGATGTCAATGGCGGACGGATGCTTTGGTGCGTTGCGGTGTCCATACTTCCTCACCCAAAAAATAAACTGCAACTAATTTCAAAAACTGTGAGTGGTAAACTGGACAAAAAAGCTTCTGTTGTTTTTTTATTCATACTGTTTTCCTATTCAGCCATGATTCCGACGGCACAATATCTGTACCACAGATTGTGTATTCTAAATATATGGTTAGCGACATCCGGTTTCGGACTTACCTGTCACTGTGGCCAGCCACAGGGCGCCTGCATCTACAGTGGGACCATGGATGGCTTGCGCTGCACCCCCCAAGCCCCATCCACACACTCCATATCCAGTGTAAACCCGAAGGAATAAGACCGGGAAGCATTTGGATGGGAGCCACGTTTCATCAACGAAGCCGGCCCACGCTCCTTCACAGACAAACACAAGCATGCTTTATTTGGGGAATCAAGTGCACACAAAGCGGTGGCTGGATCGTAGTCCACTCCACATTGAGTTCATGAGGCCACTCATCGGGCGTAGCACGGCCACAAGGACCGTGCACCCCGTCCCCTCCAGCAACGACCAGCTGTCTCCTGGATCCAGTATGGACGAGGTAGTGGGTGGTCGACAGGTAGGCACCTTGTCAACATGCACCTCAAGCGCAGCCACACGTGGGATGTCAAACAACAGCCAATCATTCGAAATTCCGGTATCAAATAAAAGATATGGAATAAAGTCAACGTATATGACGACATAAATACTCGCTAAATGAGCGTTTGCAGTAAATTGGTTATAAGCGAATCCGCAATAAGTACAAAATGTTTGAGTTATTTAAAAATTACTACGTGATAAAGTTACGCAAGGTTACCGTAATTTGTATGAATGACGAGTGCAAGTTAGGCGATTATCAAGTACGCAGAACAAAGAAAATAAAGTGGAATGAATTTTCTCCAAATTAAAAATACCTAGTTTAAGTGTAAACTGGTTTAGTCGAACTGTGGTGAAGAAGCATCGTGAATGCAACATCAGCCTCAGCATGGGATATATATATATATATATATATATATATATATATATATATGGCGATTGACGCGTCGAAGTATGACATACGCTTTCCACCATCCAAGTGGAAAGCGCTTTTTCAAGACTGGCAATCGCCCCTACCTACACTCACCACCCTTGGTGGGACGCTGAAAGTTGGACAGTTTCGCCTACTTGGGAAGCTGCATCACTGCTGGTGGGGCTATTGTAGACGAGATTTCGATGCGCATCTCAAGAGCTCGTCCGCCTTCTCCAGTCTATGACATTTATGGCGACTCCATGACGTCTGTCTCTCCAATCCAAGTGCAGGTTTACAGTGCGACCGTCCGCGCTGTACTGTTGTACGGTTGAGAACCTTGGTCTGTTTGTACCGATGAGTTGCGCTGACTGTCACTCTTAGAGAACCGTTACTTTCGGTCCTCCGCCCGTGTGTGTTGGCTGCACCACCTAATCAACGTTGAATTCACACAGCCTGTCTTGGGTAGAGACAGCCACACCCTCGAAGTGCTTGTCTCGCTTCGCCAACTACGACTGCTCGGACAAGTACTGCGTATGCCCGCTCAGCGTCTTTCGCGTCGTACGTTGTTCACGGTCGCTGGCCAAAGTTAGAGAAGGTGGTGTGGTTGACAGGCTACAAGTTTTAGAAACATGATGAAAACGCCGATAAAGCCCCTGGCCTCGGTTAGTTCTTCTCGACTCCCTGGATGCGGTCCCAAGAATGCTGTACCACTGGTTGGAAACTCTGGAACTCATGTCTCAAAACCAAACACAGTGGTGGTCGTGTGTCTCTGTTTGTTGGAGTGATTCCCTTTCCCCAATAAAAAGCATCCAAAAAACTCAAAATCTTCGACTGGGAATATGGACAATGAATATTGCGTTTTCTTTCTTCTTTTCTCTAATCCTGTTTTCTTATGCCGCCATGGTCCCGATAACACATTTGCTGCACACAGATTGTGAGCAATACGTATACATATTTTATTTGTGTTCCTTTTCTTTTCTCAGCCACAGCTTCGGCTATTGGAATACAGCATGTATGCGTATTTGGCTATCTGCAGTCCTATGCACACAGACCTATCATTTTTGCAGCGATTCGCTCATCAGCAACTTCCGTTCCAACCACTTTTCATTTACTGCAAAGGAGCATATGTTTGCTTCTACACACGAAGTTATGTGTTCTCCTAGGAACACGCACAATGAACCATGATCCAAATGTTAGTCTCATCAAGTATCGAAATCAGTATTTGTGAGTTCGTCGCAGCAGGTTCCAAATCAGATAGTCCTCCACATCTACGGGAAAGCACTGGTCATCCTTTCTGGACTGTTGGGACTCCTCAGTAGTGCGTATTCACCGGATCCTTCCGAATTTGTAACCATGACCACCAATGACTGGAACCATCAGCTATTGTCAGTGGAAGTAGTGTGTATCGCGGATAATGTCGCCTTCTCCAATCTTCGTAACTTGCGTAGCAGGGAGGGATAAGATGTACCATATCTCAGTTAGCTTGTAAATCATGACGGTGCACCGGATCTAACGAGGCAGTGGCTTATTTAATAGTAAATCCCATTCGCTACATCGCAGTGCTGTTACATGAATATTTGTGTCTTTTTATAAGGGGAACGTTTGTCAGGTGAAAACCCGCCATGTCCTGGAACATTGCGGCCGAACTATTTGCTAAGACGGGATAATCCTGAACCACCTAGCTGGCACCACTTGGAGGTTGATCTGCGAGCCAGCCAACACGTTCGACGAGCCATTAAAATAATCCTTACTTATGAGTAGACCAGAATATTTAATGTGTACACTGTACTCCATTCGTAAGGATAAATGTGACGTGGGAGTGCAAGTTAAGTAGGTTGATGTGTGCAAATCGGTCTCATGCTGCAGAGTGATGGTCAGTCAGTGACCGGTGGTATATTACGGATAAAAGTCCGTGTTTCCTATGTCCTACCTAGTGGTTAGGTTGTGAGTTGCAGCATAGCAGCTGTGAAAACATCGTTAACAGGCCTATGCAGTGAAAGCGTTCAAATGACGATTGATACAGTTGGCAGGGCTATCATCTTAGAACTTCCTAACAAAGCAAGTGAGTATCCGCGTGTTTTGATTTTCTGCAGTTGGTGTAGCTTGTGTGAGGAAAGAACTGTCCTACCCTACCTTTGGATGCGTTCAGTGTAGAAGCGCACATACAACCATTCCCGTTTGCGGCACTACAAATACGGTCAAAATGCAAAAAGGTGATCTGAATACATCTCAGACGATTGCATCTCTCTGTCGATCTCAGTCAATAGCTACTCAAGTTGCTGTTCTGACTGGGTTTCCTCGTGTGTCGCTACGCGTGGTTGGGGTCGCTGGTATGCCTAACTAAGTTCAACATACAATGATGGGTTTTATCCGCCGAAATTCTTTAGCACTCTAAATTGTTATTTGTAACGTAAACGACACACCATGAATATTTGCTATGCGATTAAGTATCTGAAATTAATGAACCGATCGTCTTCTAATTGCGATGATTTCAATTTTCGTGTTTTTGGATAAAGCAACCACAACTGCAGAGGCATTATTTGCTGCCTTTGGATTATCTTTACTTCTTCTTTACTTCCTTTTCTTCCGCTTCTTCTTTACTTCTTTTTACAAAACCCTGACCAGAATACAACAATTCTTTCTCTCGAAATTTCTGTACTATCGTCCTTATTCACCAAGCCACCACATTCAGACGACTTTGAAAGAAAAAGTCGCCTATGTAGCCCAGCACTTGCTACTGATTCAATATTCCTGAAGCTTGTAAAGTAAAATACGAAGATCCATACTGTCATGTAACTTTAAGAAATCCAACTATACGGCATCGACTCCCGTGCTAGAGTGACGCCTTCCATTGTTGGAATCACAGATCTTTCCTGACACCTACCTCCCAACGTCTACATCTGGTACACTTGTCTAAAAAAATACTGCAACGAAGGGGCAGTTGGGAGGGGATTGATGTGCTCCCAAAGCAATCATTACTTCCTTCGCTCGCTCTTCTCCTCATCAGTTTGAATCTGATGGGAGACGTGTGGGTTGAGCTGTGAGTGATGTAACCCAACTAATTCATTATGATTATGAACGTGGACTTCCCCTTGCTTTTCAATAATTGTGGCAGGCAAATCGGGTAGCGTAAACCAACAGTCGCATGGGCAAGGGTACACTTCAGTCGCCACTTGCCTTTCTGCTGTATTCGAAATATTTATCTACCTGCTCCTCCGGCCCGTTACTCATTATCTACTCAATTTCCAGATGTATCACCAAATTCAAGGAAGCAAAGTATGCACTTGCACAGTTGTTGATGATGATGATAATGCTTTTGTCGTTGTGGTTTTTGTGCTTTTTGTTGTTGCTGCTGCAGTTGACATTTGACACATTTTTGCGCTCTTCTATTATTTCATTTTCGCACTAGTTGGTAATCTGTGTTCACAGTTCGTTAATCCATTTGTTACGGACGAGGATCGTCACGGACCTTGCATCAAGTTGAAGTGACTCGTTTTCTGTACTCAGTATTTTGTATATCTCGTCTCTGCTTTGATTCTCTACAGCAACCACCCAAATGTTTTTTCACGAGGATACGCTCCGACTCTTCCTCACGTTCAACCATTCGCTTACGATGATGGAGATGAAAATCAAACTACACGATCGAACATTCAGTCATGAGAAACCTTTGGTGGGTGTAATCTTCAACACAACCTTCAACCAGGTGAGGTGAATTCCAAGGTTCATCCCCCATGGTTTCTGAACTTGTTCCCAGGAGTTTTGGTGGCTAATTGTGCGGACCAACTCATCTGAAAGTCTCAGTGAACTGCTGAAAGCTGAAAGTGTAGAAAAATATGCACAATTGCTCGGTTAGCGAAAAAAATAACCATTTTCACCAGCGCAGTTGGCATAGGAGGACTTGTACACTACCGTTGCCGCTGATGGTTGGAATACGACCGAATAATTAATACTTTGTCATGTTTACCTAGCATTGAACGGAGGCTCAATATGTTAACCTGTGCAAATGCACCGATAGTCTGAAATCTGTTTGACTTACTGAGCTTATAGAAATGCCACGACATTGGACGCTCCCGTCCCGCCTAGTCTTCCAGCTAGGAGTCCATGTTACTGACTATGCTCTAAGTTTCAGACTCCACAGGTTATTGCCCGCAACAGACATTAGTGACGTGTTTGCTGTCTTCCAGGCATTGATACACTATTCAAAAGGTATAGGATTTCACAGAAGTAGCACTTCAGAGACAAGTGATGTGTTCGACAAAGTGAACAACAGCAATCAAATGCGTGAGTAACCATCGCAGATATTGGATAAATCTCTGCGCTGACTTCTGAAAAACGGCACTTTGTCGCACCCCAACGTAAGCTATCAGCCATGCAAACGTGTGCACACACGAGTTTGATCAGTGCATCCAATAGCAGTCCGATAGTTTTGGGTCCGACTAGTAAGTTAGATCTTCTGGCCAAACCGTTCTTTCAATCTGATTGGTTACTCTTATCGGATATATTGCGGTGGGGGTGAAAAGGAATGTGGAATGTTCTGTAGCTAGTCTTATCTTTCCACCAGGGTAAAAAGCTTAGGCAAGTCGATCCGTGTAGTTAACTCAATGCGATTGTAACCTTATCTCAGAGCTTATTCCTTCAAGCCGGTCTCTCCTTCTTCGACTGTGGTGAAGCACAAGGAGGAAACATGCGGATGTGCTCCTGTCAGCAGTGCCCTACACTGATCCCACGTAGACTGCAGTTACGCAGTGACCATCAACCATATTCGTGTGGTCGCAGAAAGAAGCTTCTGTGAATACGAATAAACCGCTCCATGTGGGGTCAAATGTGATCACATAAGTTGTGCATAATGTCTAATATGCAAAGCACTTATGCGTGAACAATGCGATACAAAAGTTTGCAAATTCTTGTTCAATGCGCTAGCTTGACACCCAGACAACGTGAGTGGAAAACAAATAATTTAAGGCTCGACAACGTGGTTAATTCCATATCCGCATCATAATCCTTAAACAGTATGCGTGGAACTCAAAGTACACGTACTCTTGTGCTTTCTAAAACAATCACCTTCCCTTCTTTTGCAGGTGGTTTCTGCCTGTCAAGGTGGTACCATCTCCTTTTGGTTACTTGACACAGGGCAGCGTGTGAAGAACATTACTCGTAGTCATGGAGAAGCAGAACTCACGTGTCTGGTTCAAGATCCAGCGGGCAGTCTATTTTACACAGGAAGCACGGATGGGACGATAAAGGTAAGCGATGGGAATGAGATGGCTACGAAGCACGTTCATCAAGACTGAATTAAAGTTGGGCCTTGGGGGCATGTCTACCTCAACTCATCCCCACTCTAACGGTGCCCCGTAAAATTAAAACGCTAGAGTGCAGTTATACCCCAACTATCTGTCCAGACGTTTTCCTTCCACTTGAATAGTTACGGTAATGGTCTGCGCGAATGTTCACAAGAGAGTAATAAGGTGCATTGCATAGATACACGGCGGTACATCAGCTAAATATTGATCTGATGTTGCTAATTTGGCCTCACGATGGTTGGTGACCGCATGCGTTTCACAAATTAGTTGTTTCCTTGGCTACTAACAATTACGGGATTTCTACGCCTACATATGAGCAATAAGCGATTTGAGTTGCGACACCAACACCTTCATCTACACACACCTAAACGCCAAGTAATCGGCTGTACGCGATCAACACAGGTCGCGCGTGGTTTTTGCTTACTGCGACGACGTCCGCCCCTACGTGGATTCGAACCGGTGACCTAAGGATTACAAACAATATCAGTGTGAACCGGAAAGTAAGGCTGGGGGTGGCAATCAAATGTGAGTCAGGACTAAATGTAAGACGGTTCACACTCTTTCAACAAGCGAAGTTATGGGGTAGAATTCGGTTTAATTCATCCATCAGGTCAGTGGTCGGGGCGTAGTCCGTTGCATAACGGAACTACTCGTTGACTTCAGCACTCTTTCGCAGGCCGCGTACCCGTCTCTCCATCAACAAATAGTAATTACCTGGAACCAATCCAACCATCGCGTACCTCGTGGATCATGAATATGCTACTGGGAAAGTCAAAACTGCACCTCTGACAACGTTGCATTGAAGTATGCGCTACGTGATTGTGTCAAAAGCAAAGTCCTGATAGCTGATGGCAGTGGTGCAATGTTAAAGGGTTCGAACTCAGTGTTTATGTTCAAATGCGCAAAACCGCATGCACCATGAGCCATTTGTAAGATATGTAGGAAAGGAACATGAGATGGATGAATCGGATGGGCAACTTTACCGATAGTACGTATCGGTCATCATATAACATAAGCCGAATTGTGTTGTAAACCAAAAAAACCACCTCGGAACAGTGGAACAATGGTTTTATACGGCAAAAGACAGCTAAGGCTTAACAGGTCCCGTAGGGTTGTCATGGTTGATGTCCAAAATCTAGGAAAATTGTTAGCAGATTTGAGTTTATCACGTGGAACATACTGCGGTATACGTGTTATAAGCACTAAATCCAAGGTAAATCCACAAGCACATACAGGAGGTAAAAAATGTGGAACGAAATCTGGCATTTGGTTGCCAGTGAAATTGCCCACATACACTTGCGCTTATCCATTGGTAATGAGTCATTTGAGATGGTGCAGCGAAATGAGTGCACGATCAACTCGGTCTTTAAACTCCGCCAGCGTGGGAGCACATATGACAGATTCCGATAAGGCATTCCACGTCTTGCAAAAGCGTACGAATAAGAAATTCCGACGGCATTCCAAATGACTGTACTGGTCCGCCAGATTTAAAGCTTGGCCTCTCAAAATCCCATTGAAACTGAGATCTAGCAAGTGGCCGAACATGTGGTTCGGATCTCTCAAAATCTGCTAGGTAAAACGGAATTCCCCGCGCAATCGCCAATACTGTGCACTGGAGACTCCCAGCAGTTGTAGCCTTCCTTCATACGGCGGAGTATGCAGACCCTTGACATTCTTGGTTGCTCAGCGTTGGGGTATCTCCAAGCCGGTAAGATCTCTTCTCAGACGTGGTTACCAGGCCCGTATAGCATATTCCACATGTGGACTTATGTATGAGCTGAAAGTTGTAAAAAATTGAAGAGTCGAATCGTCCGAATACACTCTTCAGGAGACCTGCAAGTTGATGCCCCTTCCTTGAAGTCGTTTCAGCCTGATTTGAACATCCCAGGTTGACCTGGCCAAAACTCCCAGATACTCTTTGCCAGAAGACCTTTGAAGATCCTGGTTGCCGATTATGTAGGAGTGCACCACCTTGTGCCGTAGGTGCAGCACTCTACATTTGTCCAAATGGAATGGAAATAAATCCTGAATTGACCACGCCCATACCCTATCCAGATTGGCTTGTGGTACTGTGATATCATCTGGTATATTGATCACCCTCCACACCTTGATGTCATCGGCATAAAACAGGCAGTTGGAGCTCATGAGCCGTGGGATATAGTTGATATACATCTAAAATACTCGCAGTCCTAGTACCGATCCCTTTGGTACTCTGCATTCAACTCGGATGGGATCTGACAGCGATTCACGTACTCGTACTTCCAGGTACCGGTGTGGAAGATAGCTTCAGATCCATCGTACGAGAGGATCGCCAGCACCAAACGTCTGGAGTTTGAAGAGCAGAATGTTATGGTTTAACCGGTCGAATGCCTTTGAGTAGTCGAGAAAAACGACATCAACTCCTGTGCCAGAGTCTACTGCTTCAGTCCAGCTGGACCGTGCTAGTAGTAGATTTGTAGTACACGATCGATTTCGTCGGAAGCCATGCTGTTCCGGTGCGACTTTGTAAAATTCTTCCAAGTGGTCCGAGAGCGCATCGGAAATAATAGGTTCCATGACATTTGAAAGAACCGGTAGTAAGATTATGGGACGGTAGTTGACTGGATTGGAACGACTACCTCCTTTGTGAATAGGAGTAGTCATTCCGTGTTTCCCAATCTCGGGTACGTACCTTTTGTCCGAACAGTGTTGGAAGAACCAAGCCAAGGGCTGAGCTAAACTCCCTTCTACCGCCGCTAGCGATTTCGGGTGTATAGTATCAACTCCAGGAGAGCTGTGCTTGCGCATACTTAACAGTTTTTTAATACGGCTTCTGCCGTGAGTTTTTGGGGTGAAACAACTATTGTCTTTGGGTTAGGTGGCCATAGATCGCACTGAAATGTCGTAGCAAAGATAGGCGCAGTGTATTCACCACCTTTTTCAGTGTCCATGTGGGTCTTTCCGCTGTTTGATGTGGAGGAATTCCCTGTTTTACCTAACGTAGATTGTTGGCCTGTTTTACAAAAGCTTGTGATTTGAGGCCATATACACTGCCAACTACTGCTGCCACACCATTCTGTCCTCGCGAATAAGCTGAGTACAGTGGTTACCTGGGGTAACATAAGTCTGATCAACTTGTACAACTAGCAGTTGTTTGACTGTGAGGGCAACAGTTGCATTCATGACTAAATTGATGTGCTGTTTATTGGTGCCACCAGTGCCTCAGGGCAGACTGATATCTAAGAGCATTGTCACGTCAAGTCAAGTCACGAAACCGTATTTTGTGCACCCATGAAGGGTGCATTTTCAGATGTAACGCACACGAGATCGAAACGGCAAAACGAACAACACTGCAACCTTACAATGTGCTCCCGGCGGCATGATTCCCTTTAGCAACGAAAGCAGCCTACTACAAGCTTACGGATTTGTTGGAAGCCAATCATGTCACGATAACAGCTTTTATGGCGATAGGCATGCCTCGCATAGTCGAGAATAAAATATTTATTTATTTATTTATTTATTACGGCGCCCATCGACCGGTCATCACATACAGTCAGGCTGATTTTCTCAGTTGATAGCACAGCGACACACTTCGTAGGAAACCCTTTTGCTACTTTTCACATGCATGAAGGCCGACTACCGATCAGTCGAAGCATGACACGTTCAGTGCGGCTACGTGGTGTCCGGCTCAGGTCCAGTTGTCATAGCTGAACGGCGTGCGTTCCCTAGGTTTTGCCATGCGCTCGAGGCATGACTCATGCATTGCGGCTGTGGTGTCTGGCTAACGTTCACTTCTCACAGCCGAACAGCTCAGTGTACTCTGTGATCGTAGACACATATGTGGCGTCTGTGTCCCATCTCACCCCTGTCGGCAAAGCAATTTGCGCTATTGTACAGCTGACAATCCAGCGCACCAATTGTACGTCAGCACCTGAGTGGAGCCGCTCCTAGCTTCGGACCTAAGTAACAAACTACTCGGAGGGTGGGTCGGTCTTTATAGCGCTTCTGCTTGCGTTAGTCAGTCGGAGGGGTGGATGTTACTGATGTTCCATCAGTTGATACATTGGCTACTAGAAATTGGGCAACGGGACTAGGCATCCTTCTATCTGTCGTGACGATTACTTGGTTCTTGGTTTTCAAGGTTTCTGTCACTGCGTGACCATGTGCACACCCGACCCACTTCCTTGGTGTCGTGGTAGCATTTGGAAAAGATGTCTGAGGTGTTAGGTGTGTTATTATCGCCTTGAAAGTACCAATTTTTGCATTTAAACTATGTGCAGTTACGTAGACTAGGCTGTCATACTTTTGTGTTAACGATGGTACGAATTTTACTAATAGAACCGTCGTACGCTTCGGACAGATCCAAAGTGAACCTGGTGTAGTATATTTCTTTATGTCGGTTCTATAGACGTTGAGCCACTTCGAATGGTACCGGTCAATGCAATTTGTACAAGTCAATCCTACTTCTACCACCCTAGCACGAATGTGATTAGCACAAAATACTATGTTTCGGATTATCAGTCTTGTGACCAAGTTGGTTATATGGCCGCTGCTTGTTTCGCGGTTAGCTGGCGCGTCGTCGTCGGCCATCTTTTGGTCGCCAAAAGCAGGTCACACTCACATTACTGGCACATCCTGCTTTGTGTTACCTTCTGTTCCACATAGGTTGTATTACTGTAGAACAAATCCGAGATAGCGGACACAGACGGCGGTTAAGCAAATCAACGCGATCTCCGAAATTAGCTCGAGAGTATCCACCAAGTTTACACAGATTAATATACACCAAATGAAAAATATTGGTGCACAATTCACCAAGAAGAGCACATATAATACAGTAATTCCGATGCAATAGTGGAATCCAGCACTCCAATTTAAAAATCCGCTTTGCCATCAAACAGCGAACAATACCTGATCTATACTATCCTGCGATTGGACAATTCAGTAGCCACGGAAGTGTACATCCAATTTCGGGCTTCGAGATATGCCAGAATATAGCTGGCAAATGTCCTCTGCTGGAGGTGTTTTCCATAATCAGTTTTGCCTGATCCGGTTCGTAGTTCCTATTAAGTCTATCGTTACCACAGTGAAGATAGCTGATTCCTTCCTTGGAAGGTTGCATCTCTCTAAAATAGTGGGTGTTTAACTGAACCGCTCCTAATCATGTTCATCTGAACTCAAAGAACCAGATGAATTAGATCTTACTACGATCTCATTCGCGAATTCTCTTGGTAAAGATTCCGCACCAACAGCGCTCACCAGGTTCATAGAGGATTGTGGGCATCTTGCTCACTGTCATAACGTTGCTTTGCTTCTCTTGCTACCACAGTTCAGTAGGGACTCTTTCGCATCCGTGGGGATTCCAAGTCAGATAGTGAGCAACTCTATCGCTGTGATTGACCAACTCAGTAAGTTAGGTAGGTTTCAGGTGGATTGAAGGTTGCTACATCGAGCAAAGAATTACAAGTAAATGGTCAAATTGCTGTGCAGGGAACGATTCCAGTTTGTCCAAAACACAAGTTGGATTCAAAGTTCTCTTTGCTATTTACAAGACGATTGTGACCTACCAGAAGAAGTCTAAAGCATTCATGCTCTCAAGATGACGATTACTGTCGTCCGGTCAACATTCAAGCATACAATATGCACAAAACCGTCAGCGTCTACATTTGTCCAAAACGTTGAGAACAGGTGAACATGTCAGCCCTAGATAAGTCGACAGATGGATAGACGAGTGCTCAAACTTCTGACTGGGGAAGGGAACACCGTAACTGCATTCTGGGCAAGAACTTGTCACATGCTCCAAAGCATGGCTGCAATGCACGTTTGTGTATGTGTGTGGGGATTACTAAGGCACGGGAGTCAAAGCACTGTACGTCCTATAGCTGTGGAGACAACTGGGTTGGGCGCACTGATCGAATTCAAGGTGTCCGGATCAATGAATACACTAAAGTGGCTCCACAAAGTTATGGAAGGTGTGTCGATTGTACCAGGTGAATCGAGAAGCAAGTTCGCCTCAGCAATTACGATGCACTTGACGAGCACCAGTCGCTAAGCAAACAGAGACGCATCATTCACAGTCTTCATGCTTAGTCAAAGACTTCACATTGCTAAGCTCCTTGAAGCCATTGTTATCGACTGACAGCGTCCAGCACTCTGTGGTCCGTGTTTGCATATAACGCATCAATCGACTCCACGTGTCCTTATTTGGTCTCCTTGGGCATGTACGTGGCCGAACAGTATACAAGAAATACCATTATCATCCAGCCACTTAAGTCTACTGAATTTATGATTAAAAACACAGTTGACGTCACTCCTCGAACATGGTCTGCGTGGCCGCTATGTGCCTAAAGTGATTGTGGGTCTGAAGAATTTCACATGTCTGGACTATTGTGATTAGTTAGCTTGTTGCAATGTTGTGTTCCAAAAATTATTCTCGGCCACTTGCGGCATGCCGTCACGGCAACCATGCAATGCTGTTCAGAATGGGGGTCCACGAAGTGTCAGTGCTCTCTGGACTAACTGCGCACTGTGGGACTCATTGTTCGGACACCTCCTACTCTGGACGTTAATCCACTTGTCTCGCGCGCGTGTGCACGGAACCACAGACATCAGCATACTTACAGCTCACTACTGCCAACTAGTGCTTTGGGGTCAGGACACAGCCTTGCTCCAAAGGTCTGAAAGCCCCAACTTCAGACGGTTGAGCTCACGTTCCACATGTTAATCCTATCAGTCCTGGCTACGGTTTCACCTCGAATGGTGCATGCGTTTCGAATGTATGTCACCATCATCCCTATTGTTCACTACTCTTACCATGTTTCTGTGGTGCTATACAGTAACATTAATGATAATTTCATACGCCGGATTCAACCGGATTAGCCAACGTTCATTGGTATCTAGCAATCATTCGCGATGGAAAATCCCACGTAATTGAACAAATTACACACCTAGGTACTTATACCTACAATTGATTCCCTGCTTCCATTGGGTGACTGGTTGACCCAGGCAACCTTGTGAGTGGAGTGTTACTTTGCAGGGACTAGGCCGATAGGGCCATACTCGAATCTGGTAACCATAATTAAGGAACGGAAACAGAAACCGAGACGACGATAACGATGGGGAATGATCCCAAAAGTCAAACACGTTCCATACATCCAGTTGGTTATTTGACATGGTCGTGCATCATATGGAGAGTGGGGTGGCTAGAAACGATGTTACCTACGTTTCATGTCAACAATATCATCATTTCCAACCCATCGTGGATGTGTGTGTGTGTGATTACTGGATCCAGCTCCTCTGCCCTATTACAGATATGGGACATGAACGGACACTGTCACCATACCTTGGTCTGTTACGGAGGCACTCACGCAGAAGTCGGCCAAGTGGTGATTCTCAAACGATCCGTCATAGTGATGGGTACTTCAAATCATTTCACTGTGTTCCGTACGACAAATTTTCGTGACCATTACGTGTACCCATCAGAGTGGAAAGGCGGACCGGTGAGTTGAAGCATGGTATGGGGTCAGTGTAATGGTTTCCTTGTCAGTCTTACTTTCTTCTCTTTGAGGTAGGTATACTACCACTGACTAAACAGCACAATTCTTACCGTAAGACAATTAAAGTCTGTGCACACTTGACGTGTTGCTTCGGAGGTATGCGACGCTTTTGCGGTCAACTTTTATTAGTCACAGTTCTATCGTCCTGTTACATCAAGGTGAGCAATTGTTTCAGCGATGTTGAGCTCCGAAGCTACCGGCTCATTCCCCATCTGAGGATCTAGTATGGTTTAAAGCCATCGTTCCGTCAGCCGTGTATGAGTGCACTTTGAGTATAAAGCGAAGACAAGTTTCCGCGAGCGAGTGAATTCCCTCCTGTCTGCGCATGGTCTAATAGATTCCCACGTTTTTGGTTCCATACAGAATGTGTAACAATAAATACGATGCGTCGAAAGAAAGATTTTATCTGTTAAGGATGATAAAAAGGATGACAACAGTGGCTGTGCATGAAGAATCCGTAATATGTGACACGATACATGTTTACTCAGTCTGTGACTGTTGTACGCTAGCTTAGCTAAAAGGGCAAGACAAGTGAGCATGTGGAGGATTGCTAGAGGAGGAATATTAACTCAGGTATACTTACGTGGCCTCATTCCCTGACGATAATTTGACGTGCCACTTCATTAACCCTAGGAGCTGAATCTTTTGCTTTCGTATCACAGTCCCCCTCTGGCGCTAATGCTATCAGTTCACTTTCTGTGTGTGAATCTGATTGGTTAATTACTGCAGTGGATCCTTATTGGTCTTTCATGTTCACATATTTCCATCGCTCTAATTGGCTCTGACATTTAGGCGTCACGCTATACAGTGACGCCGTTCCCATATGATACTGAGCCTAAATCCTGTTCCTACTCGTTCTCTTTCTAACTATACCATTTTCACGTTAACTCGGACGCTTTGCAAATCACTTTGTACGTCTTGCAAGCCACATCTAATGTCTTGCTACAGTCATCAAACATTTCGCAATATACATTTTACACATTATTCTTGCCAGAAAAGCATGATACTACTTAACACCAAATGAGGAGTTAGGCTATTGGGCGATGTTCAGTGCATATTTTGTTCACAACAATGCAACCGAATTGCGCAAACAGCGGAGGATTGTGCGAACCCCTCTCTTGGTCAGGAGTGTCACATCGATTTCTCCTGTCCCTGTAGTGGCTTCCTCCTATTTTGTGTGGGTGTGTGAACGAACTTACGCATCTACACGACTACTGCAACTAAAGCTTTGTGCTGCATGAAACAACCAAGATGAACGACAGAAGACGACATAGCGCAGCTCGGAGGCGGCGACTGTACAAACGGACATCAGGGACACAGAACGACATTCTCACCAAGGTTGTTTTCGTCGATAGCAAGACCACCCAAGGAGCTGCTGAATTCGCCGATATCAACGAGAGCAGTGCAATGAATAAATATACGGCATCAATGCGCACACGTAAGAGAGTACCAGTGCTTAGCGCAAAAGTGGAAGAAACAACAGTGAGAAGCGAACTCCGGATGTCAGGCAACGAGTTGAATAGACCGCAGAACGGCAATCGCAAGATATTTTGATGCACTTGCAACCTCGGCTGAGAGGAAATGGGATCCACTTCTCCTTGTCTACGGTCTTGAGCGCATTCAAAAGACTGAAGATGACGCGGAAGAAATGCCACCACGAGTTAGACCGTGTCAACAGTGCTCCAACCATCGCGAATCAGCCGGCCAACACTCTGGACGTTTTGGTACAGGCCGTAAAATACACGGGAAGGACATCGTTCAATAGTCTAGTGTTTATTTGAACTCATTACGCATGAATAAACGAGGATGCGCTGGTTCAGTCTGTACAATGTACATAAACTTGCACCGGTTCAATTTTTCTCACAGCATGAACTCACGTTCTCGCTCTGCTCATTCTTTACTGGAGAGTGGCCTACTGTCTACTCTCGCAGTGATAGACAAATCACATTCCAAGGACACTTGGTGCAGCAACAACGGTGTTTCAAAGAGATCGGGACCCATTTACCTGTGTCTGCGGTGTTCAACATTCTGAAATAACACCAAAGAAGTGCCACTACGAGCTGGACAGTGACAAAGGTTTCTTGACAATCACAAGTTGGCATGACTGCACTCTCTACTTCTCAGCAAACGACCTAATCATGCTTACCAACCCTGGCAGTTTGGACAGAAAATCGCGCGTTGTAAAGTGTAAAAATCTATTGACAAGAAAGAAATCGTTTAAGTTATAAGTGTGGTCAGTTGACGTACAGCAGCCAGGATGTCGCTGTCGCGTTTGTCAAGTTCAGCATCACATCGAGGACGCAGTTGCTGCAGTCCTGCTGGGTAACCATCCCAACGCTCTCTGGTATGACCGCACTTAGCGACTGCTAAGGTCTCGGGTTCGTCAGCAGGCGTCTCGCCGACGCTTTCATTTTCGAAAACACATGCCCCACAGGATTCGGTATGTATGAGTAGGGCGACTGGAAATTCAACTGATAAGTGGAGCCCAGGATCCTCCTTAGGTACTCTGACAGGTGAATGCGCGCTGTTCATGATGAACCATGCACCGTTCATCAAGGCACTGCGGCGTAGCCGCGCCACAAGTTCCTCGATGAAAATGGAGAACTTAGCACCACTGAAGGTGCCATTGCTGATCATTATGCTGTGGACGATCCCTTAGTGATTCATTACCACAATCAGCGTCACCACGCAGGCTCTGACTGTGGGCAAGAGAAGGTTCCTGCGCCTCCCTTTTCTTGAGCGAGCCCACGTCCGCCGCAGATGGGGATTTAACCCGTTTTCATCTATGAAGACACATTTGCTCTTGTAATAAGGCGCGTGTACCTAGAAATCAAGTGCGTAAGCCTGCCGAGTTGCGATGATCGGGGCACTGCTGACACGGTCTAACTCGTGGTGGCATTTCTTCCGCGTCATCTTCAGTCTTCTGAGTGCTTTGAAGAGCCTAGACATGAACAGCTGGATCCCGTGCATTCTCAGCCGCTGCCACAGCTGGGAATGCCGTTCGGCAGTCTATTCAAGGCGTTGCATGACATCGGGAGTTCGCTTCTCACTGTTGTTTCTTCCTATTTTTCGCTGAACACTGGTGCTGTCTTACGTGTGCGCATTGATGCTATATATTTATTCACTGCACTGCTCTCGTTCATATCGGCGAATTCAGCAGCATCGTGGGTGGTCTTACTGTCGACGAAAACAATCTTGGTGAGAATGTCGTTCTGAGCCCCTGACGTCCGTTTGTACAGTCGCCGCCTCCGAGCTGCGCTATGTTCTCTTCTGTCGTTCATCTTGGTGGTTTCATGCAGCATAAAGCTTTAGTTGTAGTAGTCGTGCAGTTGCGTAAATTCGCCCACACACCCAAACAAAACAGGAGGAAGCCACTACAGGGACAGGAGAAATCGTTGATCGAGGTGACACTCCTGATCAAGTGAGGGGTTCGCACAATCGCCCGCTGTTTGCGCAATTCGGTTGCATCGTTGTGAACAAAATATGCACTGAGCATCGCCCAATAGCCTAACTTCTAATTTCTTGCTTAATAGTATTATGCTTTTCTGGCAAGAATAATGTGTAAAATTGGTGTTGTGAAACGTCCGATGTGGTTTGCAGAACGTCTGATGTGTTTAGCAAGACATTAGATGTGGTTTGCAAAACCGCCGGTGCCTTTTACAAAACATCCGGTTTAAGGTGGAAATGGTGTACAGTTAGTGACTGGAAGCACTAGCAGTGCTCGACACAACGGAGACTGTAGTTTCCAGTGATGAAAGTCATTTCTCAATACTTGTCGCCATCTTTTTCACAATCTTCGCGCGCATGACAACGCCCTCGCGAACAATCTTAACGCTATGCACCATGGCGTTTGAAACCAAACTTTGGTTCAGCTATATTCGTGACTTAATAATTCCATTTTGAGATTGCCATTGCAAACAGTGTCATTCAGCTGTTACGACAGGGTAACGAACGTAGACTCACCTCTTTCCATGAAACCACGTTGATTGTGTGTTCTAACACATTACTGAGTTCAGTTCACTTGGACAACTTCAATTCGAAATTCGAAGAGAAGTGGATCGAGTTTTCATGAGACAAATCCACGGGATAATGAAAATAAATTGACACTGGAGACGGAGAGCACTAAGTAAACTGCAACTAATGTCGGACCAATGGTAGGGAGAAGTGACAAGTACTGGAATTTTCCAGCTATTTGCAGGAGCCAGAATAGGACGGCCCCATTAACTTCGGCAAATTGGGTCATGTCGAACGAGATTTAAAATCTCCGTGCCTTCTCATTTAGAACTCTCTGTATAGCTTGTACTCGCCGATTCTGCACTCCAGTGGAAGTTTCGTCACAAAGTGTCCCTTTGCTTCAAACAGCTGAACACGTTGCATTGGGGAACTGGTAGAGTCTATAACGTTCAAACAGCCGTTCAAACTCCTGAGGTTATATGTTTTAGTGAATCCCCCAAATGTGTTCCCCGAATTTTTTATATTTCTAATATATGTATCGAAATAATTTATGAACTTTTCTTGTCGTTGTACTTACTATTATGTGCTGTTTTACTTAGGATAATTGATGTGTCCCCTGTACAAACTACCATTCCAAGTTGCAGTATTCTGGATGATCAGGCTCGGAATAACCGACAGTGTTGTGCTCCTTTTCTGCAGGAACATAGCGACGATGTTCTGACCGGTATCGCGCTACCTCCCAACGGACTCATCACTGGCTCGTATGACGGCGAGTTAATCGTGTGGAACACGAACTCCGAATTGGCCGCACGACGGATGACGCAACGAAGCAAACGGATGCATGAAGAGGTTAGTACGGTATCTCTGTACCAAATGGACTGACCCTTGCTATTACAAATGTATGAAAACGTGTACATACTGACAAGTAACCCGATCTGTTGAATCTGTGCGAGAAAGGCCCAATAAACCCAAGCTATGTAGAAAAGTGTCATGACGGCCTGGTTGCAACGACTCTCCTAGTCGACACGAACGAACGATACGCCGGTTGTATACATGTATGGAAAAAGTAGTCGATATAATTCGATTATTACGACCCGTGAGATCTAGTCTGTAAACAGTTTCTACGCGCAAGCTGAATGCAGCGTCTAGAACGCAAGTGGATCCCATACGCGTCTACACAATCCCAGGAGCGAGAGAAATAAGTAGAGGAACTCTCCGCAACAGGCTCTTCTATTGGCCCTGCAAAGAGTGACCCGTCTCACTTTATACCAAATTGGAAGCACATGTGATTTTTCACACGGAACGGTATGCGTAAGCTTAACACTGAAACCAGGCATAAGCAAGCGTATTGACACTATGTAGGCGGAACGTAGAGGTGGGCGTTCTCGCGGTATACACAGCGCCCGGGCGACTGGTGGTGGTCGCGCGGCAGCAAAGCGCTGTTGCGGCGTACAGCTGACACATTCTTCATTCAGGCGGAACGTTTAGAAAACATGAATGCTTACATTGGCGAATGCTGGTAGGAAAATAGTGAATTCATGAAACTAGAGAGCTTGGTTTACTCACGTGCACTGGAATGAATGCGAGTGTCTGCGCCTTACGTGTCTTCACCAGTGCGATCTTGTGGGGATGTGCTTTCGTCATAAAAATTAGCCAAACAAATCCTCCCAGCATATGAACCGGCGTGTCGTGTATAAATTTATCATCGCAATAAACATGATGTGCTTCCCCAAATGTAGGAGTGGAAATAAACGTCTTGCGTTTTGTTACCTCAGAGTAGAACATACCTAAGGTTCAAACTTCATCGTAGAATTATGATGTAGATAGGTTACTGGGAAACATAATGTGATTCAGTTTTTGAGAATTCTCTGCAGCATGGTTTGAACTGCCGTCACATTTTGTGTGTAGTGTGCAGTAAACCTACAGGAGTAGCAAGGGAAGTTGAGTCATGTCAACAAAATTCATTACAACTAAGCTTCGTCAGACAACAATTGCACATCCGTCAAAGTACCGGATGATCCGTGTACCACTTGGGGCTTGATGAACGGTGCGCATTTCATTGGGCAGAGAATATTGTAGGTAATATAATGCTTCCAAAAACTAGATCCCTCAGTGTACTTTTTCAGATTTTTCAATGGAGGCCGTGGTGTTTCGACTAATCAGTTGCCAATACTGCAAGTATGAACATGACAAGTAGAAGGAGACGGCTACGATGTGTACACACGGCCAAACTCATGATCCGTTCGGTTACACACACACGCTCACACACATGAGTGATGTGCATCGCCTGACAGATAACGGATCCTTGTAACCAACTCAAGACAGCGAAGAGATCGAAAACTTGACCACGCTTTTGCAGGCAGAGGCCCACGCTTTTGCGTCGTGGCGATTGACGGTGACCGAAGTGTAAAACCAGTTCGAGCTACAGCCCCATTCACTGTTCGCCGATGTACACATTGCTACTGTGAAGATCTGGCATACCTTCCGGTTGTCACTGATGCAGGCCTTTGAGGGATACATTCTAAGTCACTTCTTATTCAGGCATGGTGACCTACGTGTTAGATGCAGTGTGCAGCTTACCTGTGGCAAACAAAATTCTTGACCATACGATGTTACCTTGATTAGATACTGACTTTGAGGACTTTCGATCTGCGTAACAGCTACCTAGAGTTGAACGAGTGGAGCAGTTTTCCGCGCGGGAAATGGTATACCAAAGTCACGCATCAACAACACACATGTGCTTATGTTCGTTTAGATACACCATACAACTTATTTCACGGCTGCGTCAGTATTCGCACATTCGACATGACTGAGCTGCTCGACCCCAAAAAGTCTATATGAATACATTATCAGCATACCTTAATCGCACCGCTAGTATACGGCTTCTTCATCAACAGTATTAAATGGAGCCCCTGCTCACTAGTAAGACGTAAACCCTACTCCTCTTAAGTAACCAACAAGAGAAACAGTTGTTTTAGGGTCAGGTCGAAGTGCGTCTAGAAGCCGGCCCCAATGTTGTCTGTCCATCCCCCACTCCTTTGGATTCCCCCTCCAATCACGACCTCGTAGAAAATTAATAATATGATATTTAGTCTCATATCACTTCATTTCTTGAATTTTTGTAGTGGTATTTTTAATATCTTATCTTTTTGTATTGAGGCGTATTAGCGGAGGCGTGTTTCTAACGTGTATTGAAATTGATGATGAGGATGATGATGATGATGATGACGATGAAGATGATGATGATGAGGAGGATGATAATGGTGATAAAGGGATTGTGATGCGCAATCTCAATGTAGACCGCGATTCGCAATGAAGTGACCCTTAATAAATGCGGTCACTGGGACCTTAGCCGACGCAGATGGAAATTGGGTGTTGACTGCCAAAAACCATTGCACACCAAGCAACATTCGACATCATTTGCTCTCATCCGGTAGAAATATCAGGCATTGCTACCGGGACCATTGTAAAGTTACTTGCGACCTCTATACCTTCCGCCACCAGGCCACGATGGGAAACGTTTGCCATATGGATCGAATGACTGTAGGGACATTTTGCGATACTCGTTATGTGAATGGATTGCGGCTGTATGAATTAGGTGCACCGGTTGGGCTCCTCAATAACTTATTCACCTCGGTCTTGGCCGTCCCCCGTAGCTCAGTGGTCTTAACCACACTGATAACAGTCGAGTTGCGGGGTCAGATGTAATGCGCACTGCAGACGATTCCGGAAGAGATGAAACGGTTGTAGTGTTTTTCCGGGTATGTGATAGCTGTATGCTTGCGTCCAGTGGTGAAGAATTTCTTTGTTTATATACATATATATATATATATATATATATATATATATATAACATGCACTCAGTGTGGAGTGGACTACGGTTCAGCCACCGCCTTGTGTGCGCTTGCTTCCCCAAATACAGCGTGCTTGTGTTTGCCTGTGAAGGAGTGTGGGCCGGCTCCGTTGGTGAAACGTGGTTCCCATCCGCATGCCTCCCGGTCTTATTCCTTCGGGTTTACACTGGATATGGGGTATGTGGTTGGAGCTGTGGGTCGTGCAGCGCAAGCCATCCATGGTCCCTCTGTAGGCGCAGGCGTCCTGTGGCTTGCCACAGTGACAGGCAAATCCGAAACCGGATGCCGCCAACCATATATAACAACCAACAAACAATTGGCAGAGTGCTACAACACATGAGTAACAAGAGAAAAAAGAGGGAAAGGTGACAGTCGGTGAAAAGCTTACGTAGGTTCATGTGTTGCGTGGCAGTTAACTTCTTGATTGGCCAGGCCGAAGAGGAGGTTGCGTTATGGGACCGCTCCTCGAGCCTTTACTCGTAAGGACCTGACCCGCAAAGCAGCGAGCTGATTCACGTAGGTTGCTGGAACATCCAGACAACTGCTGAATACCACGAGTCTGGGGGCTCATTCGTCTGCTTTGTATTCGGTAGTAGTCCACACAGAAGCTGGTAGCAAGCAAGGTTGTTCATTCGCCCCCTGTTAGGCGCTCACCACTGGTTACAGGAAAGAGTGGTTACTGACCCTATAGCCAGATTGGCCTTGCAGTCTAGCGATCTCCGCCCTATGGTTGTAGCCGAATACGAAATCAGGCGTGGAGTGAATTGGGGCAAGCGGACAACACTCGACGACAATCAACGGCTTTCGCGTGAGGCAGCCAACAGTTTGTGAATGCATATCTGCCCATGACCTCGTGTCGGTAGATTTCCGAGTGGTCTGCACGCGTAGCTTACAATCATAGGGCCACCGGTTCGAATCCGCGTTTTACGGGCATGTTCGTGGTATACTCAGGCCACGCGTGACTGGTGTTTATCGCGCGGCAGCGCAGCGCCGGTGCGGCGTACAGCTGACGACTTACTGTCTTTTCAATCACATTGTCAGTATATTTCTACTGAAAATCTAGCACTGATTGTGCACTGCATAGGGAATGAACAAGGTCATATCTCGGGAACCCTAAAAATGAGCAATGCAGCGGGTAAGGTTATTTTTGTTGGACTCTGAAGACTGGTTAAGCTTTTTGACAACTTTTGCAGTCCGATATACGATTCCAGGTAGGTAATCATAACTTATACCACACCGAGGGCAACTTCAAGCATTTCGATATACCTATGTAGCGGACAAGGTGTCATTAGAAGCTTTAGAAGTTCTACATAAACTATTTCCCATCATATTCACCGTGAAATACATCCCATGAACCGGTCGTTTCGGCGCCGACACTAGCCACATTTAAAAGACGGTTTGATGACCCGCTCATCCACTTACTTAATGCCATCTCTCCATATGAATACTGAAATTTACCTTGGATCGCTGTCACTTGTTAGGACAAAGCAACCACACACAGAGTGCAGGACTAAAACATAACCAACAATAAGGCCTTATTTTGATACTTTAAGTGCTAACTATTTCTATTAACTTTTCTCCCTAACCCCACTATACCACGCAGTGGGAGTTGCAAAGCAGTGCTTCTTGATCCGCAGAAAATCATTGTACATTTTTCATTGACTGTCGTCGGTTATTCGTCACCAATAGTCCGAAGGCAAAAAAGCAGCTGGTTGTCTTACAATCACACCTAGAATGTTGAAAGTAAAGTAGGTTAACATATAGAATAAATTAAGCTATTGCTTGTGGTTGCCTATACCACATCTCACTTGAGAAAGAACGAGATTATGTCGTCGATGTAATCATGTCAGGAGATGTTCCACAGCTGCTGCCTCACTGCTTGCACAGATTAACTTCAACAGTGCTCAAAGTATGATAGAATATGTGATACAATTTACTAAAACGATGAAAGTAATATAACAGCTTCAAATTTTGCATGTTCACCTATAGGCGTTCGACAGTTCCCTGCGGTGTTTTAGTAAACTGTACTCGAGGTTTTCATATACTTCACTTAAACCGTTTTTTAGCAACTAGGAAGATCAGAACTAATGACTCAGCTGAATTGAAAGCAAGTTTCAAATCTAGGAATATAGCTGTGTTCCACATGTGTTACACGTGACTACGCTTACAAGTGTGATGGAAAAGTATCTGGTCTACACATCCGGACGCCGACTGTAACTTTGCCTGTTCTTCTCTGTTTTTCAATTTCGCTCTAATTTAACGGACGTACTTGAAGCGTGTAACTTGGTTATTACCATCATACGACTGATGCCTCTGGGCTTAAAACAGTTGTTACAACTGGGACAATTTTACTGTAAACCTGACGCGCCCAAAAGGGACTATGCAACTCACTGTCATCTCCTGACTAACACATCTTTTCTGTGTACTGTCTTCGTCTAACTGTTTCGACAGTACTCACAGTACTTGTTCAACGTATCAAGACTGGCCTTGTTGTCTACACGCAAACACATCGGTCCGGGCAGTAAGGTGGGTGCGAATCTCGTCTCCTGCGGGGGCAATGGAGTGGTGCGATTTTGGAACGCTTACTCCTGCACGCTTATCGGTGAATTTGTTGCCCACCAAAAAGGTAAGTTGCAGTTGTGGTTGCAATTGTACCAATTATCATAGTACGCCTAGCCATTAATTCCTTTGGGGATAGTTCGTAGATTGGTTCCGTGACGGAGTGCTGTCGGCGATGCGTTTCAGATTGCTGCACTGTATGTGAAAACTGTATGTGAACTGTAGGTGTATGTATGTGTATATATGAACTGTATGTGAAAACTTAGTCAGAAAACCGAAGTGAAAATGTGTGCCTTGACAAACAAGAACTGAGGACCGTCGCGATGGGAGTGGTGAAGGCAACGCTGCTGCTCAGCGCATCTCCTCCTGTTCCATACTAGGGCGACTAAATGTGGACATTTGACAAGATGTTGCCTATCAGACTAAAAGTTACTTCAACGGGAGCGTTATACAGCTATGTGGGAGCATATGCATATGCATAGATGCATATTGGTTATTGTTAATGGTACTGAGGAGACAATACGGAATGCATTCAACTACCAGCCTTCATCTTTCCGTGCTTTCCAATTTGTTGAAGGGAAGTAACTGCTTTAGAAGTGATAATTGTTTACGTAGACAGAATCTAAACAAGTTACCGCAAGGCGGAACGGAATCACATGGGACGGCGCATGCATGTGGGGACGTGAAAACGACGGGGCGTCATTTTTGTTTACAGGATTCGTGTGCAAAGGATTACGTGGACTGGAAATCACAATGTTTGCGAATTGCAGTGGGAAATGGATCGGCTATAAGACCAAAGGAGATAGTCGACATGCCACGGATGGATGAATTGAACACAGTGCATCCGGAATGCTTCTGAACCTACAATGCGACGGTGAGAGCGGTCCTGTTCGACTGTTCAAAGGACATTCAGCGGCTGTCAGTCTTTGAGCATTGCTGTCTTCGGATCAATGCTGGTGTGCGATGGCAACATCACATCAGTAATGAGGATGTTCGTCGAAGAATTTTCTGATCAGACTGACTTTTTCAGCCGCCGAGACTCATAATTGCACCGTTTGGGCTTCTGTGGCATTGGCACGTGCTTCGCATGCCTACGGAGCGTTTGCTTTTTCGTGCACTCTGCGCGCAGAAGTCGGCCGGAAGCGAAGATAATGTGGCCTGCAAATGAATGGGGCCAGGATTATGAAGGATCTAACCTCAAAGTTAGCCGTGGCCAGGCACTCTCGATCCCTGGCTGGGGGTGCAATGGTCACCCCCCACACATGGTTGGAAACCGTCTCGAATATGGCAAGAAATTGTGAGACACTACTCACATGCCTGCAATTTCACGGTCCTTTTCAACTCTCTCTATTCTTTCATTATTGTTATGTTATATTTGTCCCTAAGTTGTGGCATACTTCTAATTGTACTGTTGACAAAACGGTTTTATGCAAACTTTTGTAGTGATGCCAGCACTCGGATTTGCATCCCACAATCCTACTGGTCAGAGCTTTGAGACAGAGACTATTGACTAACTAATTTTTTCTATCACATCCAGCGAGCAGTATTATCATGACGATTGATTCGAACGACCAATACCTGGCAACAGGTGACATAGAAGGCAGAGTGAAAATATGGAACATCAAGGAATATTGTATGTACGATGAGGAGGAAGAGGAATTCTTGCCACCAGGTATGTCTAAACTTCCGTGCGTGACACGATGTGGGCAATCTGTCCGCTTTAACTTCTACTCATTGCTGACATTTCCGAAGCTGTACTCTTTAAAACATCAGTATTGTCCCGTCTCCTTTATACTTTCCGTTGTTAATTAGACATGCCACTGATCCGCCCAGTTTTCAGCCATTTGAGCAAGCACTTGTATGCTTACTTCCTCACTCTCTCTGTGTGACCGTATGTTCTATCATTTGCAATTTGAGGTGCCCGAAATTACGAACAGATTGTGCTATGCATTCAGCTTGCAGCGACTGGCCATTCACCGGCGATACAGCCGGAAAACCTAAGTGTAGATGTACTCATGAGTAGGGGATTTTGATGTAATTAACTGAGGTTCATCGCAGCCAGTTTCCAAATCAGATAGTCGTCCACATGCCCGGGAAAGCACTGGACTGCAGTTTCAGCCTGTTGGGCATCGTCAACAGTGCGCATCCATCGGGTCCATCAGGATTGGAACCCATAACCACCAGTGGCTTGAACCGCCAGTCAGCAGCTTATGCCACTGGGCCCTGGCAGTTTCTAAATGCTATGCCGTACATAGCTACTGTTAGTGGACGTCGTGTCTTTCGGAGCCAATCCTGTCCTCTGCAATGTTCGTAACTTGCATGGCAGGGGAGGATAAGATTCGCTATATCGCAGTTAGCTTATAAATCATGACGGTCCGAAGCTGTCCCTCGTGGCCCAGTGGCATAAGCTGCTGACTGGCGGTGCAAGCTGCTGGTGGTCATGGGTTCGAATCCTGATGGATCCGATGGATGCGCTCTACTGATGATGCCCAACAGGCTGAAACTGCAGTCTAATGCTTTTCCGGGCATGTGGACGACTATCTGATTTGGAAACTGGCTGCGATGAACCTCTCTTAACTAAGTGTAGATGATTGATGAACCAATGATTTCTCATTGGGATCGTTTTCTCTGCCTGCTCTCCGTATTCGTACGTCTGTTAGCTCAGCGAGTACAACATGCGTGTCATGTTACACGTTCGGGACATTTTTAGATTGAAAACGAATTTTGGATTGAATCACATCACAAACCTGTGTCTTCCGCTGAATGCTTGTTGCGTATAAGTTACTGACCTATTAGTTTTTTGATACCGGTACTATGCACTAAGCGTCTGTTGGCTAGGTTAGAGGCAAGTCTACCAAATTTATGCTGTTCCTGTCACGTCGTCACCACCATGGGTGGATGTCTTATAGGCCGCAGTCGGGTTTCACGAGCGACTGGCTGATGCACAGTTAGTTAAAGAATTGGCTATTGAATATGTGCATCTTGTTGGTCACTATAATGAAAAGATGATGAATTACGAGGGAACTAACACAACTCTTCAATCCCAGTAAAGTTGTATTGCTCTTCTAACTAGTAGTATTTGGAAAAGAGAACAGGCGTGACGGAATTAGACAAACCATGGATTCTTGCGGGTGAAGGGCGCTTAGTGTACAACTTAACCATCATCGGTATGTTGTAAATGGAAGCGCGTAGCGAAAGGAAAACTCATAACGTCATCTAGACATGTGTTGCCTGGTATGCGACTCCTCCGTACCATGATGCATTCACAACCGAGGAAGCGAGCCAGTGATTGTATGCTAGCGCCCCTGTTAACGGCCCCACATGAAACAAAAAGCTGATTCTCATGTCTGCGTCACGTCATTTCGCGGTGGACCTACGCCGTACCACTCAGTGTAGCTGGTATGCCAATGTATTGTTTTACCAACGTTTCAGAGGTTGTAGGCAGTAAGAACGAACTTAAGAAGAGCGTTTTATAACGTTTACACTCAAAGAGCAAAGACTTTTGTCAAAATCCCAGTTCGCTATACTGGGAAGCTAAATTAAGATAGTGTTGTGGCTCAGCTTTAATCGACTGCAGAATAACTAAATAAACGATTGTCAACTGTGGTTGCTATGTTCGCTTGATATTGATAATACTAAGAATGCAGCTTAAAAAAGCGAATGACGAAGTGACGGAAGGGAAATCAGGATACCTCGCATCGTACGGCACCGAGAGTTGATTCAGTCCTCCGTCTACACGAAGTATCCCGTTACTGATCAAATTCATGAGTCTTCTCAGTTCATACGGCTGTTTTGGGCTCGTCATGTGAAAGGCGGTACAGCTATTCTGCGAAGATTACCATCTGCACCCAACTAACAATCTGAAACGTAGCTTGACGAATTTTAACAATGTATACTGCGCCTGACTGGTATGGTGCAGTGCTCTTCAGGAACTTCGTGACGAAATCAAACTTGAAGCTCATCGGGAAAATGAAACACGTGCGCATCGAGGTCTAGGTCAGGAATACTTTTGCTTCTTCAGTGTTCTTTCACTTTGGGCAAGAAAAGGTTACTAACCCCAGGCCGCAATAACTCAGACGGGAGTCCACCCAACTTCTCCAGAGCCATGGGTCTGAATGAGAAATTGTATACTGAGTGATCAGTCTTGTATACTGAGTGATCAGTATACTGGGGTGTTTGCTCGGGAGATCCCTTTACTACAGATAGAAGTGGTTTCAAGAGTTCCAGAGGATTCTTGCTTAGCTGAATTTAGCATAACGGAGACTCAGGTCTTCGAGCTACTGCAAGGCATTAATCCCTCCAAAGCTTCCGGTCCTGATTCAATTCATCCGAAGCTGTTGCATGAATTGGCCACTGAGCTGAGTGGTCCGCTCACATGCCTGTTTTCAATATCGCTGGACAGCTGCAGCCTACCTTCGGAATGGAAGGAGGCAATCATCTGTTCGATTTTTAAGTGCGGTGACAGCGCTCTACCCGCGAACTACCGGCCTGTCAGTTTGACAAGCCTAGTAGTCAAGTTGTTTGAGAAGCTGATAAGGGATTCAGTGGAGAACTACCTGAATAGATTCAACCTTCTCAGTGTTGCGCAACATGGATTCCGCAAAGGATATTCATGTCAAACTAATCTACTTGTAGCTCGTGAAAGCTGGGCCGAAGCGGTAAACAGTGGCCACGCTGTAGACGTGCTATTCGTAGATATTTCGAAAGCTTTTGACACTGTTCCACATCTTCGGCTCTCACTAAAGTTGAGATCTTACGGGATATCTGGTCGCGCCCTTCAATGGGTGTCTGCCTTCCTTGAGGGGAGGGAACAGTGCGTACGGGTGGGGCGTAGCCTTTCGCTCAGGCAAGCTGTCCTTAGTGGCGTTCCGCAGGGCTCGGTATTGGGGCCATTGTTGTTCACGATCTACGTAAATGACTTGCCGGGAGAGCTAGGGATGTCACCACTAATGTTTGCTGACGACCTTAAGCTCTGGAATATTGTGGATATCCCGGGGGGTCCTGAGGCAATTCAGCGTGCCTTGGATAGGCTCTGGAAATGGTCTACCTTATGGTTGATGCCCATAAATAGGGCCAAATGCTCTGTTCTCCGAATCGGAGCTGCAAATCCTCCCACCCGATATGTTGTCGGCGGTGGTGAACTCCCTGTTGTCACTCAGCAGGTTGATTTAGGAGTCGTACACGCATCAGCACTTCATTCTGGAAACAACTGGAAGAAGGCTGCTTGTCGAGGGTTTCGTATGATGTGGTTCATCCGCCGCTCTTTCGGAATCTTAACGGTCAATTTGTTTGTGAAGCTGTTTTCGGCATTCGTCCTACCCCACCTGGAATATTGTATCCAGGCTTGTCCACCATGTCTTCACCGAGACAAAATGGACTTGGAGAGGGTGTTACGAGTGGGCACTCGGTTAGTGCAGGGTCTACGGAGACAGACATATCCTGAACGCTTGCTCAGTTTGGGGATGTACTCAATGCACTACCGAAGGATAAGAGGGGACCTGATTCTCACTTATCGTATTTTGACGGGTAAGATTGGCCCGGACTTGTCAGGGTTATTTAGTCCCGCTACGTTACCTAATCTCCGCGGTCACCCACTGAAACTGCATAAGCCACGGTCTGATAGGATTAGGACGGAAACTCGTCTATCGCGCCGAGTTATAGATCGCTGGAATTCGCTTCCAGATCACGTGGTTAGGGAACCTACGGTTAAGGGTTTTGCGCGCCAGCTCGATGCTCTTGGGTGGCAACAACAAACCTTTCCTTTTTCCTAGCCGACTCACCTTCACTTTTCAGTTCTTTTTTTAATAATTCAAATATCTTGGTGTTCCACTTGCTTAGCTCTTTCCACTTTCTTTTTGCCTGCTGAGTTTACTTTTTTTCTTACTTCACGTAACCGACCCAGCAGGGACTGCTAGGACAAGATACGTGGGCATTAATTGGTTGGACAGGGTGTGATGCGGTCTTTGTTTTAGGTCCATCAGTATTTCAAAGTTCGCCAACTCCTGGTTCAACGACCCGCCGAAGAAGGAACATTCACGGGATAATCCTATCGTTCCAGTCCCGCTTGAACTTGGACTTGGTCACTGACCGTTTACTCCCTTCTCGCGTAGAATCGCAAGGTCTCATTAACCCTTATCAGCCTGATTTTGTCTCAAATTTCCGCAATACTTCTGATATGATGGAATGCTTTTGTATGATAGTAGTTCGGTTAGCAACGTAAGTTGCAAAGCGCCCATTAACACTTTGAAGCAGCTTGAGGACTAACACTCAACCTTTGCAGAAGATTTTCCTGCAATGTAGTCCCATTTTCCCGGCCATCTTTGCTACCACGCGCACAATTATAGGGCAGCGATGAGCTCTACTCTTGGTATTGACAATATCCGAATGGGAATTACTCCTGACCTCTCGATAATCGGGTGGTGATAATACTGCCTTTCGCTTCGCAACGACAGACTAGTACGGTAGCGGATCGCGCATGTATCGGAAAACAATGTAACTGTACCGGACGGATTAATGTAACTTTAAAAGATAAGCTGTTAATCCCATTCGTGGTGCATAACCACTGGCTCCAGGCCCGTTGATCTCCTGCGGGTACAGCATCATCCCAATCCAACTTCTTTCTGACGAAAGATTGTAATAAAATCTTTGCTCCTAACAGTACTGGGTGAGGTG